TGTGTCCGTCCCTGAGGCTGTTGTTGTCGCAACCGTTGTTGATGCGAGACCGTAGGGTGGTGATTCGTTGTGGTACCAGGACTTCAACAACATGAAGCCACCAAAGATTAATGGGATACAGGACATGATTTCTAAGATAAGATGAATTTATCATGTATAGGGTTGTTTCTACACTTGCTCCTTTTCACAGAATTTGAAGGTTCGCCTTAAATTGAACCTGCTTCTCTTGGGAGTGAAGGATTGGTGGAAGTTTGTGATGGATGACTACTTTCCTCTGGAGCATTCTGTAGTGACTTCGGAGAGATTTAATGATATATTTAGAGATGATTTTGTGCCATTGGTTGAGAAAGAGCGGTTAGCATAAGAATTCCTATCTCTCAAGCAAAAGACAAAGATGGCGACTGAGATCACCAGGAAGTTCCATGAAAGGGCTTTGTTTTGCCTTAAACATGTGTCTTCGGAGTAGGCACATGTGAGTTCATATCTGAGTATCCTAAAGAGGGATATATATGATTTCATGGTGAACACTTCATATTGAACATTGGTGTAGTTGTAGACCAATGTCAAGAGGATGGAGATTGAGTTGGAGACACATGAGAGAGAAGAGGGGGAGACTCATGATAGAGATAGGAGGCCAGTGCAGTCACAACCGGCGACTAAGAGGTTCAAACTTGTTTACTCAAAAGTTGGAAGCCAGAAGGGCCGAACTTGTAGCAAGTGTGGAAAGGGTCATGAGGGACAATGTCGATCAGGGACTATTTGTTACATGTATGGAGAGGAGGGGCATATGGAAAAGGATTGTCCCAAAGGATTTCGGGTTAGCTTCAATTGCAACCAGACAGGTCATACTAGGTCCAAGTGTCCTCAACTTGCATTGAGGACGGTTCATGATCTGGCTCCCACAACCTTGCATATTATTGATGGCCGATAGGGGAAGGCCGATGCTCCAAGGGCTAGAGGGAGAGTGTTTAAGTTGACAGTAGAAGAGGCCAGAGCAGCACTGGATATCATGGTTGGTATGTGTTTCTTTAATATTTTTGTTGATTTGTTTTATGTTTTCTTATGATATTGCTCTTGTTAGGTACTTTCCTTGTGAATTTTGTACGTGCTCTAGTGTTATTTCACTATGGTGCGAGTCGATCTTTTGTGTTATCATCCTTTTGTCATGGTTTTAGCATTGCTCGTGAGGCCTTGAGTTGGCCATTGAGGATTTCTATTGCTAATGATCATGCAGTCTCCGCTACTGACATCTATCGGTGATGTGTACTGTAGATTGTTATTTTTGGGTATCCGATCGACCTTATTCCTATTGCAATGGGAGATGTCTGCGCTATCGTGGTTATGGAATGGTTGAGCCGTTTTGGGGATCTAATTGACTGTGAGCAGTAATTGGTGACGTTTTGAGATCCTAGTGGGGGAGTGCTTACCATTTACGGCGAGTGTATGAGGATGAGATCAACCTTTTGTTCTACCGTCAGGGCAAGGCAGTGTTTATAGCATATGTGCATGGGTTATCTGGCATATGTGGTGGATACTCGGGTTGATGAGAAGAGACCGATTTCCATTCTTGACGTTCTTATTGTGCATGATTTCCTTGATTTTTTTTCGGATGATTGTCAGGTATGCCTCCCAAGTGGCAGGTGGAGTTTCATATTGATATGACACCTGGTGTGGCATTGATTTCCAAGGAACTGTATTGCCTTGTGCCACCCGAGATGCATGAGTTATCCTCTCAGCTTCAGGATCTGTTAGGAAATGAGTTTATTCAGCCAAGTAGTTTTCCGTGGGGAGCACCGATCCTTTTTCTCAAGAAAAAGGATGGTTTGCATCGGATGTATATTGACTATCAAGAATTGAACAAGCTAACGGTGAAAAACCATTATCCATTTTGAGGATTGATGATATTTCGATCAGTTGTAGGGGTTGTCTTGGTTTTCCAAGATCGATCTGAGGTGTGGTTACCATCAGACGAGGGTGCGAGAGGATGATATTGAAAAGACGGCCTTCTGAACTTGTTATAGATATTACGAGTTTGTGGTGATACCTTTTGGACTCACTAATGCACTAGCAACGTTCATGGATCTCATGAACCGTTTGTGTAGGCCCATGTTGGACCGTTCAGTGATTGTCGACCACAGAGAAACATAAGGAGCATTTGCATGAGATTCTTGGGGTTTTGAGGATGGAGAGGTGATATACCAAGTTCTCCTAGTGTGATTTCTGGTTATGTGAGGTTCAGCCTCCGTCTAAGATTCGGAGTTACCTCGGTTTGACAGGATATTATCAGAGATTCATTTGAGACATCTCCAAGATTGAAGTTCCTCACACTAAGTTGACGAGGAAGGATGTTGTGTTTAGATGGAGGCCTGAGTAGTAGGCATCATTTGAGACTCTTTGGCAGAGACTTTGTCAGGTGTCGGTACTTACCCTCGATGAGAGAGTTGAGGAGTTTGTGGTCTATTGTGATGCATTAATTTTAGCATAAGGTGTGGTGCTGATGCAAAGAGGACATGTTATTGTGTATGCTTCGAGGTAGCTGAAGCTTCATGAGGCGAAGTATGCCACCCATAATCTGGATTTGGGAGTGGTGGTTTTCACCCTCAAGATTCACCTATAGTTTATGATTCCGGATATTTTGTGACACTAATATTTTGATGATGGTTTATATTAGACATTTACGATTTTCTTGAGATGGGTTTCATGAAAAAAAAAAATTATTTGTGTTTAAAAATGAAAATTTTGGTTGGGAAATTTAGATGTTATAATTTGATATGATACTTAGAGACATTATCTATTCAGTGGACGGTCATAATGTGTTTAGATGCAAGACCATTGTAATTGGAGGTAACTTTAGATAAAAATTTTCTAGTAATACAAAGAGACAATCATTTAGATATTATGTAGACATCATTACATTCATCAAGATTATGATGTGAATGTACAGTTTTATGTTTAATCGTAAACATGAGGCTTCAAGTTGGTTGTCCAACTAATAATTTGGATGAGATAAAATCATTTGTTGAATGAATTCATAAAATTGGTGATGGTAATATTGTTGGCTCTAATGATGATGAATATGAAGTTAAATTTCCATAAGACATTATGATTTGCTCAAAATGTGACCATATTCTTTTAACTATATCCACTATTTATCCATCTTTTGAAAACGATCTTCGTGATCCATCATATTTTCAAGATAAATCTATTTTGGTCCATACAAATGAAAAAAGTCAATGCTTTCGATGACTATATGTTAGAAGTGATGAAAGATGAAGGGAAAATGTATTCGAGTTTAGATTCTTGGTGTGAGACAGGGTAACAAGATTCTCTTGAGGAACCAATCTACTCTCCAGATGTGTCGAAAGGTTTTAATGCATTTAGAATTCCCAACCATAAACTTACACTAAAAATAAGTGTTCTAGTCATGTTATGTCGTAATATCTACCAAACCAAAGGATTGTTCAATGGTACTAGAGTACAAATTGTTAGGCTTGGAAGACACATCATTAAAGCCCGTATCATATTTCGTAGATTCTTAAACGATATTACTTATATACCTCACATGAAGTTAACTTTGCCTGATAAAAGAATCATATTTCGTTTTCAACGGAGGCAATTCCCCCTAGTTTTTTGTTTTCATATGAGCATTAACAAAACTTAAGGACAATCATTATCAAATATTGGATTATACATGTGTATGTCTATCCTCACTCACAATCAGTTATATGTCGTTTCTCGCATTCCAAGTAAAAAGGCTTGAAAGTACTTATATGTGATGAGAAAGGTCATCCAAATAATAAAACAATAAATGTTGTCTACAAATAGGTTATTCAACAATTGTTAATATTCAGACATTTCATTTTTTTTTTCAAACGTTTCATTGTTAAAAATAACCCAACGTTCGTTTCCGTTACTTTATATATATATATATATATATATATATATATATATATATATATATATATATATATATATATATATATATATAATAATAATAGGTTATTCAACGATTGTTGATATTCAGACATTTCATTTTTTTTTCCAGACGTTTCATTGTTAACAATAACCCTAAGTTCGTTTCCGTTACTATATATATATATATATATATATATATATATATATATATATATATATATATATATATATATATATATATATATATATATATATCCAACTTTTTATATCGTTTTTTTATATGTTTCCTGCGTATTATCCTGGTCATAATCTAGTATTTTATTAAAAATTATACAAATATTATATAATTATCAATATATCATGAGTCAAACTATGTTCGTTTTGCAGGAATTATTTACTTTAACAAATCTTTGAATATAGTACTTTATATATAATAATTTAACAAAAAGACGTGTCATGCATGAACATGTAACTACTTAAAGAATAATTCAAAATAGTGGTTACAATTTGACTCTTAGAAATTAACACATGTTGTAATGATATTGATCAAATAGAATATGTAAATGATGTTTTGAAGGAGTAGAGGTTAAAAAGATCCAAGAGTAAACTAGTTATATTTTACTGAAGAGACAAAACAAATTATGTTGAACTTACATCAAGAAGAGGAATCAATCCATCGAATCGATATTGAAATTAATCTCATTTCGAGTATGGAGCTCAAGTTAACAAAAAAATTGTTAACGAAATATACGATATTGCTTAGTGAATGCACAAAATATAATTTCAGATAAAAAAAATATACCCAGTTATATTTTATTTAAAATAATATACTTTAAAGATTAATATTCTCAAAATTTTATATTATAAATTAAATTTATAAAAAATCTATCTTTTAAAAATAAATTATCGTTCTGTAATGAAACAGTTTATTCGTTAATAACCTTATATTTCTATTATTTTTCTACAATTTGACATTATCAATTTGAACGAATATTTATTTATTAACATAAAAAAAACGTTCCGAATATAGAACGCTTCGTTGATCGCAATGCAAATAGTTTCCCTTTCAATCAACCGATAGTCGCCTCTCTCTCTCTCTCTCTCTCTCTCTCTCTCTCTCTCTCCATATTCTGCTTTCCACTCAAAGCTTTTATCCTTTCGATCGACATCATCCACTAATCATCTACTTGATTACTTCTCAAACGCATCGGATTTATCTCAGTGGGTAGAGGAATCAGTGTCAGTTAAAGTCGAAGAACGATGGGTGCTTGCGTTTCAAATCATCAAAAAGCTTCTCCAATGAAACCACAAAAATCGGTTGATTCTACTAAAATAACAGATCATAAGGTAGTGATTCATCCTTCATTCGGAAGCGAGAAATTTCCGACCATGAATGGTCATGTTGCTGTTAAACCTCAGTTGCCTCATTCTCAATCACCCGCTACTATTTCCGATTTCGGTATGACTTCCATTTCTGTAATCGAAATTGTTCATCTGCTTAATCCGATTAACTTCAGTTGTATTCGATTTCGATCTTATATTTGATTTACAGCTGACACGACCTTAGGATTTAATTGCTTGATTCACGATGGTTTTCAATTTTGATTAATTTCAGTGTTTTGTTGCTACTTTTTTACTCAGTCACAGATTTGATTTCTTCAACTCGTTGCAAAATTGATTAATTCAGTTTGTTCTGCTTTTGACTTTTTGATGGCTGCTAATAATTCACAGTTTCACACTCTTCTTTCAAAATTGGATCAAACGTTACGTTGATCATATCATCTAAATTCTAATCACATCGTATACAAAAAACAAATCAAATTTGTTGCAAATGATTCTGTTTTCACTTTTCACATGATCTTCATCTGTTTACGTCGATTTATTTGTTTATTATTCAAATTTGTTTTACTCTACAACATGTAATGGTGGGTGTAACATGCGTTGCTGTTTTTATTTGTTGGTATTGAAATACGAATATAAACAATTTATATTATGAGTGAACGATTGAATAATCATTTTGCATAATGGCCCACAAATTAATATTCTTTAGTCGACAATATAGCCATAATAATTGTTAAGAATACATCATTTCAACGCTTCATTTTTTTGACTCTGTTTTTTTTATATAGTTTTGCACATTAAAAGGCATGATCATGAGTTCCTTGATTTTTATGGGATCAAAATCAAAAATGGGTCCAAAGTTTTTTTGATTATTTTATTACAAATATCTTAGAAAAATGTTTTTGGGTATATATATGTAGACTCTAAACTCTTTTATATATATTTTTGATGCAAATGTTTTTTTTTTTTTTTTTTTTTTTTTTACATTGTAGGTAGTAAAGAGGAAACGTTCTTTGATTCTCAAGCATGGATGGATTCCGACTATGAAGATGAATTCATGAGCGTTAATGGTGGTAAGAATACATAAAGTAATTAGGTCAATATTTGAAAATTTTTAAAAACTCAACTCAACGTATTTTTTTATTGTAAAATCTTCCATTAGTCATATATAATAACTTGGTTTATTTCACAATTTTAACAACTTTAACAATTTCAACAACTTGTTCAATCTTTTTATTTCGCCGTTTGTATTTATCTCCAAAAAATTAATTTCAACTACATTGATTTTCAATTTGTCCAAACTTTCTATTTTTACCATTTGTAGTTACAACATTAAATTTTAAACCAATTTTATACGAATACTCAAATATTTATCCATATGACTATTTTCCGATATTTACTCACGTCATTTGGGTGCGTACAGACTTTACACCGTCGAGAGGCAACACACCTTTGCACCATATCTCGACCATCGAAACCAAACACAGTCAACTGAACACAGGAACTGGAACTGGAACAGGAACAGGGACTGAGTGTTCTTTAACGGACCACAATGAATCGGTTGGTCCCACACGTGAACCGTCACCAACTCCATCGGACAAGAAAATGAGACTTTTGGACCTTTTCAAAGAAAGTGTAAGGGAAGATGAGGAGCATGGAGATGATGATAACAAGGAAATTGGTGAACCACAAAAAGGAGATGGTTTAAAATCAAAGAGTGAGAGGCATGTAATTGGTTTGGGTTCTTGCTTCTCGAATTTGCTCTATGTTCGTGGGTCTGAAAGGCAAAAGAAAAAGAGTTTAACTTCGAGTGTGATTGTTGGTTGATAAATTCGCCATTTGTGTTTTGATGATGTGCGATGGATTGTGATTAAACATCCATTGTCTCTATGTAAAGCGGAAGTTAATTATATATGGTTGATATATACAAATATATAAGTTTTTGATTGAAAAACTACTATTTTGTGAATGTATGTTGTAGATAAAAAAGTTATCATTTACATATAGTTTTATTTTAGAAAAAAAAAAAAAAACAACAAACTAATCATATATATCACTTTTCAAAATTTAGTCGAAATGGTTGACTAGAACAACCATGATTTTCGCATATATAACTAAGAGTGAACATATTAACCGAAAAAAGAACCAAAACCAAATTATTCGAAATAAGATACCTAACATTCAACCATTATGTAATAATATTTGGAATTAAAAATTTAAAGGGTAGCAATGTATTTTATGTTGTTTAGTTTTATTACAGCAAAGTAATTTTTGTTTTTATCTCATTTTCGACTCATAACAAGTATTAACCATTAACCAAAATCAATATTAACCAATACCTACTGGTTACCAAAATCCATTTACCACTTATAATGGTTATGGTTTAGTTTTAGCTAAAAACCAAACCAAACCACCCCATACAAATTCCTATATAAAAGTTGCGGAAATCTCTTTTTCAAACAAAAATATCTTTATCTAAAAAAATATATGTTTTCGAAGAAACCCACCGCTTAATCGTAACGTTTTATATAAAAATGACAAAATTGCACAAATAGTCCTTGTGGTATGTCGAAAATTGTAACTTTGGTCTAAAAATGTTTGGACTAGCACCAGAGGTCCAAAGTTTTCATGTTGTTGCGAATTTGATTCAATTTGTTTTGAAAATATCTAAAGTGATGGAATTGCCATTAGTATTTTCTTTTTCTAATTTTCCTTTATTAATTTTGTATTTTCTAATTAAAAATTAAACCAAACATAAAAAGAAATATATAACCCTATTACACCCAAGTGTTTTTTATAACACACATAAACATCATATCTCTCTCTTCATTATGTCAAAAACAACTACCACCGGCAGCCGGAGCACCACCATCGTCCGACCATCAAAACCACCGCCGGAACCCTAGAACTATCCGGCGCCGACTTCGCCAGAGAAAAAAAAAAAGAGATTTGAACCATCATAGACCACCATTTTTCTTTCTTTATGTTGCTACGACAACCACCACTCTCTTTCTCTCCCTTCGCTGTTATCAATCGCCTGTCGGACCATCTAAACCACCACCGACGACAAAGATCTCAACATCATACGTTGGATCTGTGATTTCTGTCTGTGTCGTTTGTCTTTCCAGTGTCACAATCGGATCCTTCACTGTCTTTATTAGCGTCTTTATCGACTTCGGAACCCTAGGGTCGTTCGTCACCGGCTCTATAGTACCTCCGTTGGTGGGTCAAGTTTATTCTACCCCTGTCTGTGGTGAAACAAGAATGATGATGAAAAGGTCAAGCAAGATGATGCCATCATCTGTATACAAACTATAGCGCTGCCACCGCCTCTACAAACCCTTGCTTCGATCTCATTGATAATTATTGCTACCGAAATGCAACAAAAATGATGGATGTATATAGAGTTGTTTGCTCCGGTGATTGGTTCCTTGTTGCTGAAAACCTTTATTGATCTTCATCTTAAAAAATCACTCCCATATCCTTAAAACCTTTTGAGTTGTCGGACCCTTCTGCTTTGTTGTCAAAAAACGTCTCCGACAACAGAATCTTCTCGTGGCCGAAATGCTTAGTCACCGGAATAGCCATCGGAATCTGATTTTTTTTTTCTGAACAAGAGAGAAATATAGGGAGGGGGTGATAATACAATTTTTTTTTTCTTTTTTAGTTTTTGTAATTTAAAAACTAAATTGAAAATGAAAATACAAAGGGCAAAATCATCATTTTATAAAAATTCAAATACAGATCGGACCAAACTCGCAACAAAATGAAAACTTTGGACCACTAATGTTAGCCTAAACATTTTTGGACAAAAGTGACAATTTTTGACATTCGTGCAATTTAGTCTATAAAAATCTAACCAAGTTTGATACAAATGATACCGATATTCTGATTCACATGATCTTCGTCTGTCCATATAAATTTGTTTCTTTTTCAAGATTGTTTTACTCCACAACATGTAATAGGTGGGTGTGTGATGCGTTGCTAGTTTTGTTTGTTGAAAACCATATGAATTGTTAAGAATAAAATTTGTCAATATTTCAAGTGATCATGAGTTCATTGATATTTATGGGCTCAAAAGTGAATTCGGGTCTAAAGATTATTATTATTATTATTATTATTATTATTATTATTATTATTATTATTATTATTTTCAAGTATGCATGATAGTTACGGTTGCATTTCTGTAAATATTTTAAAGAGAATTTTTTTTCTTATAAATATTTGATTTTTTTTAACAGCGATAAAATTTTATTAATAAAACTAACAAGGCTCTAGGATTACAATTACATTATACAGAAAAACTCGTAGCGGGTTTAAACACCAGATTTCCAATCTTGATTAGGAACATTCGTCGGTGTTTTCAACCAAATGAAAGTGTTCGTCTTAGTTTCTTCAAAGATCAACGAAGGGGATGATGGTGTGTTGTTGAATGCTTTATTATTCCTTGTCTTCCGTAGAAACCAATATGCAGAGAGTAAGATTAAATGGAAGGTTTTTTGTTTTTTGAAGTCAACCGTAGAGAGTCGGGGATTGATAGAAGATCCATTACTGACCCAGGGGCAAAAGTGGATACACCACACCAATTTGAAATAGAGTTCCAAACACACTCAGTGAAGGTACATGAGATCAACAGGTGGTCCACCAATTCTTCAACAACACCGCATAAGTAACAATTTGTATTTGTGATCGAAACACCTCTTCTAGTCAAAGCCTCTAAACATGCTCTCCAAGCAAAACAATTGATTTTCAAAGGAGCCCATCTATTCCATCGAAAGGAGTTACTTGCCACTGTGTAATACTTTTGCTCAATTAACTTTCTAAGAGTGATAACAATAAAGGTACTTGAGTTAACACCCTCAGCTTTGAGTAACCAATTGTCAAATGTATTGGAAAAATTGAATTGATTGATTAAATTGCAAACTGGGATGATTCTAAATCGGATTGGAATGGGCGATTCCAGCACCAATTCCACATTCCGGTCTTGTCTAGGTTCGGGTGCCTCTCTGCAACAGTACAATTTTTTGATTTCTCTAATGCAAACAAGTTCGGGAATAAGATCTTGAGCGGGCTATTGTGCGCCTATTTATCGTGCCAAAATTGTGATTTGATTCCACACCCACCTCAAGATGCATAAGGCCTGCAATATCAGTATCAAGATTATAAAAATCAGTGTCAATTGTAGCAATATTTTTCCATGGGCCTGATATATTGTTCTTAAATGGGATGAATTTATAGCATCGATTAGAGATGTGAATCGCCTTCACAATTTTCACCCAAAGATTGGATGGGTCATGTTTATAAATATTTGATGCATATGTTCCTCTGTATCGCACCTAGGAGACTTTCTTTGAGTGTGAATGCGGGTGTTTATTAATTAAAGACATTAAATGTGTATTTTAATCCATTATACTATATATTAAAATTATCCATCCTTAGCTACAGTAAAATTGCTAAGGATGGACAAAAATGGTCCCCTGTTTATGTGGGTTTGTTCATTTCTCTTTGTTTTCTTTTTTCCTTTGCAATAGGTCAATTTGTGTCAATTTGATGACCACATGTTTGCTTCGGTCCAATCATATTCAGATTTGTGTACATGGTCGCAACCACCCGTATACCACACACCCACCGCCTTCATCTCTATCTTTCAAGAAACACCTACTCCTCCACCTACTCTCTTCTATTTCTTCTCCACCCATCACCGCTTCCTCCACCGATCCTTTTCTTCCACTTTCGATTGTATTTTCATCGTGTTCCACCTATACCGCCATCTTCCCTCTAAATTGAAACACAAAGGCCACAAATCAAACTCACAAGAGTTATGAGTTCTCGATTCCTCTATGATTACACCGGAGACTTCAGTTGATCGATCACTCACTTCGCTTCTATCATACCGCCATGGCTGACGCGCTTTCGTTTTCCCTATTTCTAAACGTAAACATGCTTTCGTTCCGTCCTCTTCGTCTGCATCGCCTGACGGGTTCACATATTCTTTCTGTCGTTGCCTCAAGTCACATCCGTCTCTGATCACTCGACGTCTGCTATAGCCTCGGTCGATGACTCTGCCTCCGCCATAAATGATGCGTCGATTACATATACGCCATTGTAGATGCAAACGATTTCTTTCTGATCAAATTGGTTTTCCCGTAAGTAATTTCATTTGTTTTATACCTTCATTATATGCTTTAATTTTATAAACCCTAAGTAATTGGTTGTATGAAATCGAGTCAAATTTCTTTCATGCAGGTTGTAAATGTTGAAATTTCCATTATGTTTGGGCGATATAAACAGGTATTTGAAAAATAGAAAACTTTATCATGTCTGTCGATGAGTTTATCCCTTAATTTACTTGGAAACAAGTAAGGTTTTAACAACAAATTATGTGAAACTGACAAGATATTTGATAAACTAGGATTCCTATTAGAAGGCTCGGTCGCAACTGAAATAGACCGACATAGAGAGATTGCAGGACATCGAACCATTCGACTGTTTCTGGTGGTGGTGTCGCAATATCGGTTGCCAGTGATGGTGGTCGGAAGCGCGGTCCTGGCGAATTTGGGGGTATTACCCCAGCTCCTTTCATCTCCACCGACATCATTCGATTTACGAGTTTCTGCATTGGTAAGCTACTAATCTACTAATCTTCATTGTTATTGTTTTTTATTCGATTTTCCATTTCATTGTCTCATTTCATCTCCTAGGGTTTTTTAAGTGTTTGGAGGAACGAAATTCGATCGGCTGCTACCGGTTCTGATCGTTACCCTGCTTCTCTACATACCCCCTTGATGAGTTCTCCGGAGCCTCCTCCCTATATTCCCGGTACAGTATATGTCAAATGCTTTAGAATTTTATCCAGTTTACATCATGTATGTGTTTTAACTTCAATGATTATCTTAGATTGTCAAAGCAGATACGTGTCTGCCTTATATGATGATCGGAGGAACTTGTGTCCCATCATTTGTAGCTGAATATTGCTGTAATTTCGTATCTGAGTTAGAGATGCCCTTTTTCATAGCCAAACTTAAAACATTTCGTATCTAAAATTGAGTCAAATTTCATTTATGTAGGTTGTAAAATGTTGAAATTTTCATTATGTTTGGGCGATATAAACAGGTATTTGAAATCATGCCTTAATTGTAATCCTTTTGTGTTTACTTTTACACTTAAAGCTATTTTAAATGAATATAAGGATGACATGAATTTATTTCTTTTTCTATCTACAAAAGTCATCATTAAAAAAATGTTCAACAATATCAAATCATAACTGAAACAATAAAAAAAAAATAGTAGAACCAGACTAAAATTAAGGCATGATTTTAAAATAATTTAATTATTGTCATCACTTAAAAATGTTAATGTTTGTTGTTAATAATAATGAAGATTTTGATACGTTAATATATATTAATATATGTACATCTCCAGCTTTACGAGCTTATTTAAAATACAATAAAAATTCATAAAGAAAATCAAGGTCGAAAAGGAATGTAGAAGGTGTGTCACACTGTCACATATGTTAACAAATCCAATTTAGCAATATCCATTTGAAGGGCCATAAATATATAATTGCAGCTATAAAGAGATGATATATAAAATTTAAATCCTTATAAAAATTAAACCCATTGTTTTTCAATACCACATAAACGAAAATATATTTCAGTTTTTTAATATTTAATATTAGGTTTTAAAAAAAGAAAAATGATTTGACAAAGCTAATGCTTTTCGTTAGGTTTACCAAAACTAGAAAACTATGTTAGAATGGTTGCATCAAGCTGGAAAGGCTGGGCCGAAGCCGGGGCCCACATTTAAAATTATCCACTTTTGTTGCAGAGCAACTGTTTCCATACCAGGGTTGCTATGGAGGACAATATGGTCAAACTGAACATCAAGCTCATAGGTATATAGTGTCTACTCTGTTTGCTTCTAATAAGAAAAAAAGTTAATCATCAACCTTTAATGTAGTGTATGAAAATTTTCACCTGTAATGGAATTTTGTAATCCTTTTGTGTTTACTTTTAGATGCTGGTTATACCATGTAGACTGTAAGCTTTGGCTTATCAATAGAGTGCACCAAAAACATTACAGCTATTACATGCATTCATTAAATGAATATTTTTTTTTGGCTTATCAGTAGAGTGAACAAAGGAACATTTTTTTTAACATTTTCATTATATTTCCAATAATTATTTATGATTTTTTTATATAATTTTCATTTTCTAATAATTTGATGTCATCAAGAGAAGATGCCAAACTAGGCTAACCAGAAACCGGTAATATAAGAACAAATATATACTTTTTATATAAAAAAAATGGTTGTCATA